CAGCACCGCACTCTCCCGAGTGAGCCACAGGCCGGCCCTACAGCACAGCTTTCTAACACCAAGATGAAGGGTTCAGATCCCCATACTGGCCAGCCCTCAAAAAAAAAGAAAGAAAGAAAGAAAACAAAGGACCATCACAAAATGCAGGGGACAATTCCAGCAGCCTGCTCCAGCCTGTCTTGCTGATAATCCACTGCATTTGAATCTGACACGGTGTCAGGACCTTTCTGGATTTTACCAAGCAGCATTTCCCAAAGTGTGTGCCATGGAGCACTCATTTCTGGAAATGTTCTGAGAACTGATGTGAGAAGCTCCCTGTGAGCACAGGAGAGTCACCAGGCACATTCACCCACTAAGGCTCCGAGAAGCCCTGGAAAAATCTCCCAGTCAGCTTCATCCTCACACATCACTAAGAGACACAGCTCCTATGACACTCTGATGCCCTTCCCCAAGACTGGATCTGTTTCACATGCATTTTGAAATTAAAGAAAAAATAAGGTTGCATTTTCAGTATCATATTTTCCTTCCAGTCTTTTCTCTACTTAAAGGAGCATCAACACCTTAACTATAGCCTTTTCAATGGTAACTATTAGGGCATTAGATTCTTTGCTCTAATTACATCCAAGGCTTATTTTGCAAGTGCCTTGTCTTTACTCCTTTCCCTTCTCACACCTCTGCTCATCACCGCAAGACTTTTCAAATTGAAGCTTTGGAGCTGTGAGACATCCAAATGCAAAAAATTACCTTTTTCTATATTAATGGAACAAAGAAACTGATATTTATTAAGTACTTCCACTGTGGCAGCCATGAGAAGCAGGTTTTAGATACTTTATCTCATTTAAGTTCCATAGTTCACCCCTAGGAGGGCAGTAAGTATCATTCTTGTTTTACAGATGAGCAAATAGAAGCAAAGACAGGTTAGATGATGTACGTGAGGTCTCAAAAAGCTATAAACAAGGGGAACTGGAATTTGAGCCCAGAATACGAGCCCCCGAAATTAAAATATGACTTCATCTATTAAGGTCTTCTTTATTTCATCATGATCATTGTTTCACACATTTTGATATGGCTTCAACCTTTCATTTGCTTCCTGTGTTTAAACAAGATATGGGATTATGTTCACTTATACAATTTAACTATTATAATGCCTTATGGATCTCACATCTGTATAAATCATTACACATTTAGTTCAAATTTCTGCATTAATTTTATAGTATAGAATTCATGATGTTTTTCTAAAGAGCAGATAGACAAATGTTTAGATTTTTGGTTATATCATGTACACCTGTTTCATTTTTAGCAACTATTCTAAAATCTTATTATTCAAACATTCCAGAACCTGCTGGTGACAACCCCCTGGAGCTGAGCGAGATTCCTGATGAAAACTGCGTGATTAACAGATATGGTTACTTTACGGCCACCATCACAATTGTAGGTGAGGCTGGAGACCAGCGGGGAAGGATGCCTAGAATGCCACCTAGGGTCATCCACTCACTTTGCTAAGTCTGGAGGGGTGGAGGTGGGGAGCAGGAGCACCCCACTGCCTGTCTGAGGTGATGGCACATATGCATGAGCAAAGACTCTACTGGCTTCTAGATTCCCACCTGCTTTCTCCAGTCTTCTGTGACATCCTGGTGGCAATGAGCCATCCTGAAGCCCACATATTAATAAGCCTGCCCTGGGCCTGGATCCCACCTGTGCACCTTACATGAATATGGGGTAAAGGAAGGCCAGTATCAAGTTCCCAGTACTTCCACTCTCTTCCCCTAGCTAACTTGCACAAAGTCACACTTCTTGTGTAGTGAGCAGGCCACCACACATGACTGTGCATTTTGGGCACACCTCAAAGCATCCAGCAGAGAAAACAGGTTTGGGCTGAAGCCCACACTGTGCTCCCTGGTCCTAGGGAGGGGGTGGAAGCCCAAGCTATGTAAACTGGGGTCCAGCCACCCCTGCCTGAGAAGCTGGCCAAGCCCTGAGCCTGGGGCTGCATCTGCCCAGGCGTCACCATTTTCTGAAACTCCTGCCCAGAGGAGGTGCTGCATTCTGTGCATACACAGGCTCTAGAAATAAAAACCTAGGTTTGAATGAAGAAAAATCTAGTTAATTTTGACTTTGAAAATGCTGCATGGACATGTATCCAAAGCTACAGGGGTAGGTTTCCAGATCTGGTGATTCTGTAAGGTAAGAAGGCTGTCTCCATTTTTTTTTTTTTTTTCCTTCTGATTTGTGAAAGAGCGTGACTTCACAAATGTGAAGGAGTGTGTTTGGGCTCCGATAACAGAAGACCATATATCGGGTGGTTTATAAACAGCAGAAATTTATTTTTCACAGTTCTGGAGGCTGAGAACTCCAAGATCAAGGCACCAGCAGATTTGGTGTCTGGTGAGAGATATATCGGGTGGTTTATAAACAGCAGAAATTTATTTTTCACAGTTCTGGAGGCTGAGAACTACAAGATCAAGGCACCAGCAGATTTGGTGTCTGGTGAGAACCTGCTTTATGGTTCATCGATGGCTGTCTTCTCACCATGTGCTCACATGGCAGAAGAGCTGAAGGAGCTCTCTGGAAGCTCCCACCACCTACAAGCTCCACCTCTAGTACCATCAGGAGATGGGGATTAGGTTATCAACATGAATTTGGGGGGGGACACTGACATTCGGTCAATAGCAGAGTGGTTCGGTTTGGTTTCCATTATATATTGATGTGTTTTTCTATGGGGATTGTTTTGTTAGAGGGAATCCTAGAGGTTAACATCATCCAGGTGACAGACGTCCTGATGCCAGTGCCACAGCCTGACACTTCCCTGATGGACTTTGTCGTGACCTGCCAAGGGACGTGAGTACATCACCTCCATCAGAAGAATGGGTCAATGGGGCCGGCCCGTGGCTCACTTGGGAGAGTGCGGTGCTGATAACACCAAGGCCCGGGGTTCAGATCCCACATAGGGATGGCCGGTTGGCTCACTGGGTGAGCATGGTCCTGACAACACCAAGTCAAGGGTTAAGATCCCCTTACCGGCCATCTTTAAAAAAAAAAAAAGAAGAAGAAGAATGGATCAAGTGAGGATCCCAGGTCTGAACAAAGTCCTTGACCACCAGATGGTGTGCCTTCTAAATTCATTTAAATTCCTATTCACCAATAACCCCCAACAAGGAAAGACTAACAAAGGGCCCTAGAAGATGCCAATCAAGCACACATTCGTTTTGCTAGAGTTGAGAAATGCTCATTACCTTTAACAGTTGGTTAAGTCAAGTAATAATTATTGTAACTGGTTGCACACTTACTATGTTCTTAGCACCTTTCATCTGTTCTCAGACTGAATCCTCACAACAATCTTGAGTCTCTCCATTTTACAGATGAGGCAAGTGAGGCACACAGTGATCACAGAATTTGCCCACAGATAGCCTGCTGGCTCGCAGGCTGGAGGTCTGGCTCTGGCTCAGAGCCGGCTCTTT